CTACTTACTTATGCTAAAACTATTAATATTTCATGAAAAAACTGAATGATAAATAGCATACCATAATAGTAATTAGTGGTGTAATAAAATAAGTGTTTTGTCTGGGGGGAGGATGTACAAAATAAATTATTTTTCTTCCCACTCCAAACGATAAATAATTGTATCTTCGCCATATAATTATATTTGTTATGAGGAGTTATGATACCTAAATCCCCTTTATAATTACGTCAGTGATAGTAAGGTAAATAAATATTTCTGTTTTGTTCCCTTGTACCAAATCGAGTTTTACTTAAGTCAACAAAGTTAAATACACTGGTGATGTTTTATGAGTACCTCTACGAAAGTATATCATTCAAGGCCGTATTTGGGGGTTCAAACCCCCCCCGAAACTTTTTAATAGTTAATAAACTGAACTTTAAAATTTAATAATTTACATAATAATACAGATAACTCTATAAACATATTTATATTGTTGTAAAATATTATATTATTTTATAATCCAGAAATTGTGTGGATACGAATTCTAATGGCGTATTTTATAAATAGCATATTAAAATATATACGTCACTAGCGATTAATTGTAAACGATTGACAGACGACGATAACATGTTGAAGAGTGGAATTATTATCTGTAGGCCGTATTACCGTTTTTCAAAGAACGTTATCGGTATTCAGTATCTCCAATAATAATATTATTAATAACTTTATTTTATACAACAAAATCGTTTATTTTTTTTTTTTTTCATAGTTGTATGTACATGTTATCTTGTACCGCCTGCTTGAGACTCATAGAGCAATGCGAATTTTACTGTGTAAGGTGTAACTCTGTGTTGAGACGTCCTATGAACAAAGTTATTAACTATTAAGTGGTGATATTTCTCTTGGAAATTAATATAATACTCGTGTTTATTTTAATTTATTTATATTTTCTATAAAATGTCAACTCGTAAGAGCAATTGTGCTAATACTTTAACAAACTATTTTAATAAAAAAATAAAAACAACCCATGACGGAAATGAAGTCTGTACTTCAAGTCCAGTATTGACTGCAATCACACCAGGTACAACAGAAAAATCTAAGAGTGATGTAGCTGATATTGGTTGCTGTTTTGATCAAAAGGTTAGTGATGAATTAAAATATAAGTTACTTTCTAATGTTTGGATTCCTGATGAAAAGTTTAAATTTCCTATATCAGGAAATAGAAAGTTAAAATTTCAATTAAATTGGATTAATCGATTCCCTTGGTTATGTTACACTAATATGCAAGGTTCTGGAGCGGTGTGCAAATATTGTGCTATATTTTATCATAACTTTACCGGTAAAGGTGCACATCAAAAACCCGGCGTATTAGTAACAAAACCATTCAATAAATGGAAAAATGCAATTGAAATTTTTAGCACGCATAAGGACACAGAGTATCATAAAAACAACGTTTTTTTTGCTGAAAATTTTATTTCCATATATTGCAACAAACAGTTAGATATTTGTCAAAAAATTGATTCGGCACGTGCTAATCAAATAGTTGAAAATAGAAAAAAATTAACACCAGTTATTCAAACAATAATTTTGTGTGGTCGTCAAGAATTGGCTCTTCGTGGTACATCTGATTCTGGACCACTCACTTTAAATGAGCCAGTTCACAATGATGGTAATTTTAGAGCTCTTCTGCGAATGCGAATGAACTGCGGTGATAAAATGATGACTGATTGTATTGAAAATGACACATTTAAAGTTATGTATTTAAGTCCTACTATTCAAAATATTTAAATTGATATAATTGGAAAAATAATTCAAAATTGTTTAGTGGATAGAATCAATAGGGCAAAATCATTTTCAATTTTAGTAGACGAGACGACTGATATATCGCGAATTGAACAAATGTCACTTTGTATTCGATATATCGATGAAGATCCTGAACATCAATTCATTTTACGTGAAGATTTTTTAAAATTCGTGTCGGTAGAAAATACGACTGGTAAAAATTTAGCCAATATCATTTTAGATAGTATTAAATCTCTTGGAATAAATCCGAAGTATATGGTAGGACAAGGATACGACGGGGCGGCTGCAATGAGCGGAAATTTCAAAGGAGTGCAAGCAATTATTCGAAAAGAATATCCGGCCGCGCTTTACGTACACTGTAGTGCTCATTCTTTAAATTTGGCTCTCTCTCATTCCTGTAGTATTCAACATATTCGTAACTGTATTGGTACCATAAAATCGGTAGGAAATTTCATTAAAGGTTCAGCAATGCGAACCGAAATTTTAAAAAAATACATTAAAGAACAATTTCCTGAATCTAAGTGGACCAAACTTACATCAATGTGCGAGACACGTTGGGTAGAAAATCATGACGGACTAATAAGATTTACAGAAATTTATGGGGCAATTGTTAATACATTGGAAGAATTACAGTTCACTCGTGATATTGAAACGTCATCAAAAGCATTACAATTTGGAAAAACTATTATAACCAGTGATTTTGTAATAAGTATGGTCTCAGCATCTATACTTTTTTCCTTAACATTGCCACTGTGTAAGAATTTACAGTCTGTAAATTGTGATTTAACCGAAGCAATGGCGTATGTTGATATTGTACTACACGAAATAAATGATATGCGAAGTAATATGGATAATACATTTTCCAATATTTTTAAAAAAGCTGAGGCTCTTATAAAATCAATTGATGACGAAGAATGTATAAGAATACCTAGAATTGTTGGACATCAAAAAAATCGAAGTAATATTGTCGTGAATTCACCTGAAGAATACTACCGTATTACAATAGCTATTCCTTTTTTTGACGACTTCATTGAACAGCTTCAAACAAGGTTCAATAATCATAAAAAAATAATTTCTTCATTGCACAAGTTATTACCAAAAACATGCGATAAATTTGAAATTGATTTAAATGATTTTGAAATATATTCAGAATTTCTGGATTTAAAAGTACTGCCACAAGAAATTAAACTGTGGAAAAGAAAATGGACTGACGAACTAGATGTAGACCGTCCAAATTCGGCTATCGAAGCGTACATTAAATGTAATTATGAATATTTTCCAAATGTATCTTTTCTTTTGAAAATATTAGCTACATTACCAGTTTCGACTTCTACACCAGAGCGCTCATTTTCTACTATGAAAAGGCTAAAAAACTTTTTACGAAATTCATTTGGTCAAGAACGTCTTACAGGTCTAGCACTTTTGAGTGTGCATAGACAAATTAAAATAAATCCAGACGATGTGATCGACAGTTTTGCAAAAAGAAAAAAAAAGACTGATAGACTTTGTGCTATAAAAATGTATTATTTTAAAATTTAAACTGAAAAATGACTCATAAAATTTTGTATTGTATTGTATTTTAACTTTAGTATACTTCAAAAGGTAAATTTTGTAAAATAATGACAAAGGTAGGTCATAACATAAAGTATATCTTGTTGTATAACCTCACTTAATAGTAAGACAATTTTTTTTTGTTTATGTTATGTATTAGTATTTTTTTTAAATTATTTAAAAACATATAATTTGGTTAAAACCCCTCCCGAAAATTTGTTCCAGCTACGGCCTTGATATCATTCAGTCTTTTTTAAATTAACAGCCATCAGTACTTCTAACCAATGAACATAATTTATGATTTGGACACAGTCTTATTCTGAAACTATCATTTAGACTAGAAATTTTACATAAGTGTATGATTTTAACGAATTACATATCAACTGATCGTAATCATTTGATCGCATACTAATTACCAATGATCGATGATTTTTTTAAAGCTTCATTAAAATATATTTTCAAAGTAATTTAATAATAGTTCTAGAATATGTTCGTTTTCTATGTAATAATTAGTAAGTTATAATAAATCATAACATTTAATTACATCTTTATTATGAAATAAACACCAAACCTGGCAATTTGTTATAAAAATTTAAAATCTACGAATCATTTTTTTTAGAGACCTAACTCTTAGATTTGCTACCACATTTACTATAGCAGCAAAAAAAAAAACTCTTAATTACTATGTCAAAAAATACAGTATTTAAAACTCTTTTTCATAACCTATCATTATATATAATATTTGGATATAAAGTTTCTATTTTAGCTACATTTCCATCATGATTGTTGATAACTTATTCGTGAATGATACGAACACGACTTTTACATTAAAATTTTTTATATTCAGAGCACTTCCAATAAATTTTATCTTTATACTCTATTAATTAAATGTAATATCCATGATAGATTAACATTTTGTTTGCTGAAAACGTAGTTTAGAGACATGATAAAATAAAAGTTATTACTATTTGTAGTCAATATATACACTAAACCGACTCAGTATCTCACACAATGCAATGTAATTTTTGGTAAAATTACTTATGATAGTTCAAAAAATTCATTTTAAAGAAAACACCCTGTTTGAAAAATAAGTAAACAGCTTAAAACATTTAAAATGTCCCGTAAGACCAATGTAAATTTTGGTTTTAAACATAATAACTCTAATAAAACTACGAAACACCACAACATATTATGTAACGACTTTTACCTGAAGCAATAATTTTTCGATAAATTGATTTGGCAATAAACTGCTATTCGATCAATTAAGGGGACACTCGATGTATATTCATCGATGTATATTTATGATATTAATAAAATTACTTGACCGAAAATCATTAATTATTTATAAAATTGGTATCTACAATTAATATCATTATTAATAATGATATTAATCAATATCTATATTGATAAAATTATAAACTAGTGCAATTTATTTTTCTCTAAAAAAAAAACCGTTTTCTTACAAATATTTACAATGGTCAAAGTTTTATGGATGGAATTAGTAAAGAATACTAAAATTCTTTGTAGTTATTGTCCATTCTATTCAGATATTTAACTTGTCAATAAAAGTATAAAAAAGTTTTATATTAATATCCTATGTACTATCATTAATGGCCTTTTTTGTATACTAAAAATTTTAATTTTTAAATTAAACCAAACCTTAAAAATAATTACTTGACTAAAATAAAAAATCAAGTTTAAACATCAATTAAAAGGTTTTAATTCATTAAAAACTCATTAAAAATTATGTCCATTTTAGTTTGAATTGGATCTGAGTTCTTTACACAAAAAGAGATGCAAATATAAAAAAGTACTTTGTATTTCAATTAAGATTGTTGAAAAATTAATATTTTTTTTTATTGCAAATTTTCATCTATATTTAACTTTAATTTTTATAAAATCAAATGTTGTAAAAAAAAATATATATGATAATTATTATAAATGACAAATTTTTTTACTATATTGATTTCTCATAAATTTTTTTTAAGACATCATACAATATGTAGATAGAAAACCCTATTAAATAGTTATTGCAATAATAATTGTATGTTTAATGGTTTTAAAACATTGTAGTTATTGTAGCACATATTACTTATATTTGTATAGATTAAAAACTAACATAAAAAGAATTAAAAAACTATCATCAAATAAGTCAATTAAAAATAGTTAAAACAGGTAACAAACAGGTTTAAAAAAAAAACCTAAATAAAGCAAACATACAAATAATTTCATAATAAATAAACAAGAATACAAAACTTAAAAGTATAAAGTATAAATAAAAATAATAGTGAAACAATTAAGTTACTTTGATGGCATTACACCATCACTGAACTTGATCATTTTCATAACTGGTTCATATTCCCCAGCCAAATAGAATAGATCATTGTTCTCATAAATAGCATCAAGACGTTCTGGTTCCTTATTTATTATTTGTCTGAATTCTTTAAGGGAAATTACACGGCATCCATTCATAATACTTTGTACTTCATTTATATCATTGTGGGGAGATTTGAATAATGCTCCCTATTATTATACGACAACATATGTATAAATTTATAACCAATATACAATAACAATGAAAAATATAGTATATCTATTTATTACACTTACTGGATAGGGTAAATCGCCAGTAAAACCACAAGCAGTTTCTTCTGGATGATAAAACCAAAATACTTTAACTTGCATTTTTTCCAAGTGTGTTTCCCACATGCAATCTACTTTTCCAATAAATGGTCTATCGAGACAACCAGAGGATAAAAATACTGCACAATCTCCTACCTATTAGCATATCATTTTTCATATGTAAAAAAGAACAAGTAACTTTCATTTAGTTAATATGAAATCTGCAGACCTTAATAGTTTCATCTCCTCTGGTTATTGATTTGTAGAACGTTTTTTTATTGCCACCACGTCCAGGTCGCTTATAACTATCACCTAACCATTTCCAAGTTTGTTGATCAGATAGAAATTTGGACATCTCTCCACAATCAACTTCACTCGAGTCATTCTAATAAAAATTATAATAATTAGATTATATAAATAATATTGTTTTTGAAAAAAAAAAACAATAAATCATAGTAACTTCTAAAAATAAGAACTTTTAGAATATGTTTTTTTCGATTAAAAAAATTTTTTAATCGAATTAAGTTGCATAGGTTATTTTTACTTTAATCAGTTAACTTTACAAAAAATGTATTAGGTAGAAATCAAGTTTTCCTAAAGATCTTTCTAATATTTCATAGAATAATCTTTAATCATTATTAAAATAGTAGGACAATATAACATATTAAACTAGCTGTTATCTAGAAAGGACAGAAATAAACGGAGAACTTTCTACATTTTTTTACTCAAAGAAACAGACACTGTTAAGATACTCAAAAAAATAAAAATAAAATGAAAATTTTAATCCTCTCTTATGTTATCATTATTGAAATAAAGTTGATACCTTAATAACACATAATAGTTGGACCTAAAAATTCTTTAGTTGATAAATCAACAATCATAATACTAGAAAAAGCAAAAAAAAAATTCTTAACATTATTTTTATTTGGTGATTTGAGTGAGAGGTTAATGATTAATCCATTACTGAGTAATGATTACTCTATGTATAAGTAGTATGGCTATACCTCTTCATTAGACTTATCGTCATCGTCATCATCAATTTTTTCTTTTTCAAGAAGGGTTTGGGGTGACAATTTAGGTGGTTCAGATAAAGACAAATTAGTTTCATTTTCTCGATGACGCTTGTGCTTTTTATGATGTTTTTTATGATGTTTATGTTTATGTTTAATTCTAGGTTCATCATGACTATGCTTATGTTTCCTGTGTTTGCGCTTTTTCTTCAGTCTTTTCCTCTCATAATCGTCTTTCTACGTATAAATGAAATATTAATAAAAATCACTTAGAAATGTAATTAACAACACAACCATAAGACACTCACATCGGCGGTAGTCTTTTCTACATTCGGTCGACCCGGACTGACGGATGTGCACTGACATTCAGCAAGATCGACCGTTGTAGAACTATCCCTCTCTGAAACCACCAATGAAAACATATAATCTTTGCCAAACCCAAACAAAAAAAAAACATTAACTTACCTTCTCCTGTGCGTTCAGGAGATACTTCTGAATCAGTGCTTTCGCTTCTGATTGATAAACCATTATAAATATCTTTTTGAGAGGGTAATGGTAATTCATTTAAACTATCATCACTATCAAATGATGCACTAGAAAATTTCCTTTTTTTAGGAACTACTAATGATGGCTTAGAAATTGCATATGGTGGCTAAAAAAAAATTATTTGTTTAAATATAATACAGACAAAATTAAATAAATCTTCATAAAACTCCAAATAATGTTATTAGTATAATTATAAATTTTATAAATTATTTATAATGTTAAGTACTTAATTTATTTTAATACAATTAAAAGATTATATTTCAATTGAAATACCTATTGTACTTATAGGAACTTAATTTATAAGTTATTTGATAAAACAATATTCTTTGTAAGAGAATCAAGTTTTGAATAGTATGCAGTGTGATAATTTTATCATTGACCACTTAATTAATCAAAGTGTAATATTGAGAATTTTACTTTCTATTTCTTTTAGTTCTATATTTTTAGCTATTTTATTAATCAGTATTTTTCATGTACACAAATTATTTTATAAGAGTGTCAACTTTAATTACCTAATTCAGACTGTTCAATAACAACAAATAAACCAGTATTTTAGAAGTTATTAATAATTTAATGTAATGGCTGAAGAAATCGAGGTGAAAGTTTTGTTTCTTTTATCACTAGATATTTCCAGGCACACCTAACTCTCGTCTAGATATAAAATTTTAATAACTTTTGAATTACTCGTCAAACAGTTGCTAACGATCAGTTATTTATTAAACTAAATTACTTTTCATTTCATAAGCTAATTACATATGTATATTATTACTAAAAGAAATGAAAAGTAAAATTCTCATTGTTATATATATTTTTTTATTAATTAATTAATAAATGATAAAAGAATCACCTTGTATATGACATACCATACACTACATACAAGAATGACCTAACAACGTTAATCATAGGGACATTTTACATTATTATTGATTTAACAAGTCTATTTATAATAAAATAAACTCACAATTCTATTTAAAGCATCTGCCATTCTCCGCTTCTTACAAACAAACTCAGGAATATCTAATAAGTCATCTGGATCTTTAAATTCCTCATCCTCATCTTCGACATCCCAATGTTTGATCTATGAATATCAAAAAATTATCAATTATAATATTTAGGAGAAAAAGTTATTTCACTAACTGAATATCAAAACAAGTTATTTGTCAATGCATATCAATATATTATGTAAAGTACATAACAAAAAATTTTAATTTTAATTAAATCAACGAAGTTGTACTGTCTAAGTCAATAATAAGATTTCAGCAACAATTTAAATACTTTAATTTAATGAATTAAATTTATAAAATTTTCTTACGAGGTTATAGATTTTAGATAACTTATACTACTATTAAAATACTAAATAAAAGTATGTGTCTTAAAAATAATTATAACAATACAATAATATAAAAAAAAAAAATTAGAAATTTAAAATTATTTTGGAATTAAACTTACTTTAACCTCAGCTTTTAATTTAGGTTTGATTTTATATTGGTTCCCAGAAGAAATTTCTGATTTATTTGTTTTAATAGTCGCAACACTATTTACTATTCCAGATGATAAAGGAACTTGTTTTTCTTTATTTTGATTTTTAGATAAGTGTTTGCTTAAAATTTCATCAAATGGACTAGAGTTTTTTCGTGGACGACCTACTTTTCGTTTTTTTATTGGTGATCTGAAGTCATTTTCACTAGTCTGAAAAAAATTTAACATGCTTAAAAATGAAATGGAAAATTTTGTAAAAAAATAACATACTACAATTAAAGATGTAGATCTTTTTTTAGCCACTTTTCCTTCATAAGCTTTTTCTTCATCAGATGACTTAAAAGAATCTGATAATTTAGCAGCTGATGAAATAGGTGAAAGAGTAGGTGGAGTCCTTGTTGAATCTTTTCTAGATGAAAATGGACTACAAGGTTCTAATACAGGTGGGGAGAGATCAGATGATGAAGAAATTGAAATTTTTTGCTTTACTCTTGAATCACAATCTAATTTTAAGCTATTTCTTTTCATAATTTTATCATCATCTTTCTGAAATTTCTTAGGACGCCCAGGTCCACGTTTAAAAGTTTCACTAGTTTCACTTGAATCAGATAATTTTCTCTTTAATGGTTTATTATTATTTTCAGAATATTTTTTTAATTTATCTTGTGCAAGTTCTTTATCTCCTTTCAAATGTTCTCTTGACCAAAACAATTCACTGCTCGATGGTGATTTTTTAGTATATTCTTTTTTAGTCGTTATCTCATTACTTTCTTTGACAAGTGGACGTTTGCAAAGCTCATTTTTCCTTTCAGATTTTACTAAAAGAACACAAATATAGTTTAACTTTGATATAAATATAAACAAAAATAAATCTATAATATACTTACAAGCTATCTTTTTGTAGTTGGAATACGTTTTGTGAATATTTTTTTTTTGAACAATTGTGTCCATAGAGTTTTCAGTTTCTAAAAACTGTTCAGCTAACAACAGCAAGTCAATTTTGTTAACACCTTTTTCTTCATTTTCTTCCATTTTGTTGTAACTATTATCATTTGTCTTAGTATTTAATTCTTCAACTTTTTTTAGTTCTTCTTGTTTTTCTATTCGTTCTCGTTCAGCTGAATCACGCTTTTCAAACTGCTCGATACTATTTAATAATAATTCAAGGCCTGTGATATCTGGAGTAGATGCATTTTCAGCAATGGATAACATAACTGAACAGGTTTGAGTACCACCATCACTAATAAGACGCCCTTCTTGATTTGAATAATTTGTGGTATCTATAAAGTCAGTGTTCTTGATTTCTTCAGTAAGTGGCTGGCCTATATCATCTTCTGTTTGTAAATCTGTTTGATTACTCGCATCATGTAACATAATTGCATTAGAATCTAGTGTTTCAGTCATAGAAAAATCTGTTTTTACTTCTTTTTCAGGTTCAGTCAATGCAGTATTACAATAATCTAATGAAATGGATAGATTCTTTTCAGTATGACTTGAGATAGTACTCTTTTCAGTTATTGACTGTTGCACTAGTTTTGTTTGAACAGTAACAGATTCAGAAACAGTTTGAATATCATTTATTTGATTTGGACATCCCGTTTGCATTTGAGCTAGAGTTAACCCTGAGTGAGGTGATTGTATGTGACCAATTAATGGTTGTGCTACAATTGCAGATTGCTGTTGATTAAAAATAAACATTTGATTTTCAGGTGAAGACAATTGTAACAATGGCTGTTGGTGTCCTGTATTTTCAACTATTGGGTGATGAGTATTAATGAGAGCAGGTGGATTTGAAGAACTGACTTGTTGTATTAAGTATGAGCCTAAATTAATACCCATATTTTTAATGCTTTATTTAATAAAATTAATAATAAAATAAAATACCTGCACTAGCAATGGAAGTATATTGTGGATGATTTATAATAGGTGATATGGTGGCCATCTGTTGAGATGGTTGTTGAATAAGTGTAAAACCTTGATTAGTTTGGCTTTGTGTGTCCTGCTTACAATAATCAAATGGCATTGTCATCACACCTAGACAAATGAGAAACATGAACTTATTAGTAAAAAAATTAATAAATAAGTAACAATTTAAACTTTAATTAATACCAGTAATAGAATTTTGGGGTAGTAAGAAAAATTGTCCTGACTGATCCTGAACTAATTGATAATTACCCACAGGTTGTATAGGTGGCTGATCTATAGTGGGTGCTTTACAAAAAATAATTCTTTAATGCTGATACACATTAAATAAATTTAAATGATGAGCTATACTGATACCTCTAATTGTGGTGTTTTGATAATTCCATTGTCCACCGATAGTGTTCTGTGGAATAGCACATCCGTTGGAAGTTGGCCATCTGTTTAATGAAGTTGACGCACTAGTGGCCATTGAACAGTCATTATATGATAGAACTAAAATTCAAAAACAATAAGTAACTTTTGTAGTTCATTCAGATATACAACTATAACTTACCCATAGTTTGCACTGGTGTTTGTGAAATTACTTCAGGCATCGATACTGTTGTGGTAGTGGATGTTTCTCTTTGCCTTTGAATTTCTGTAGTACTCGAAGTACTTTGCGTAAATCGTTGTCTGGCTACAGCAATTCCAACAGGTATATTACCTCCACTAACTCCAGCTGGAAAATTAAATAAAGAAGAAAAAATATTTATGCAATGCATAAATACTATTTTTTAATTAAATAATGATTTTACTTTTTATAGTTGTTGTTTGACTACATTGAATATTAGTGGAATCGTTCTTTTTTAAACAAGATGATGGGTTTGTTTGCTGAGTTGTAAATGAGTACTTGATTGAATTAATTGAGTCTTCATTTTTAGAAGTCATGATTGGAGTTGGAGCCACTTAAAAATATATACTAATAAATATTGTCGTTAAAGTAAAAAAAAAATATTGAAACATAAAGGTATTCTCAAATAAAATATAACTTTGAAATTTTGACAGCATCAACTTGATAAGACTACAGCAGTGTAAAATTAACCAATCAGCAATTGTAAACAAAACTTTTGTAAACTAATGAAAATAATAATTACAACTTTCATATAATTAAGCTAACATACAAATTAGAGAAATACCATCAATTTACAAAATATGTTAATTAAAAGTATTGAGCAGGTGAACTATTTTATTATTTCAATTTAACTAAAGATGTATGTAATTTATAATAAAATAGACAAGACGCGCAAAAAAATCAAATCTCAAAAAGAAAAAAGTCAGTTCCAAGCGATTTTTATTATAATTATTTTATTTATTTTGTTATATTTATAGTAAAAAAAAAAAAACTAAATACTACAAATGTTAAGTGTAAATGATATGTCATAATGTATATAACTCTAAATTTATAATCCATAATAATTTACCTATGGTCAAAGGTTTACTAGTTGCCAAAGCGGGAGCTTTACCAATAGGCCTCTTTCGTTTTTTGGATTCTTGTTGTAGGACGGATCTTTCATGAGCTCCATTGGGCGCTAGTTTTACTAATTTTGGCATTTCTTTAACTATAAAAACAATTATAAATGAATGTAAAAATTTTTATTTCACAGTCTCAATTAGATTATTACATTTTGTCATAAACGTAATTTTAAATTTTAATCAGAAGAGATTTTTTTAATTATTTTTATTTAAATAAAATTATATTATACTTCACATTTCCTCATTGAAATCAAAATAATATTTTATTTAAAACCTTAAAATATTATGAAAAAATATTAGATCATCTAATATAATGTTTGTAGATAAAATGGCATAATTTGTCCTATTTCCTTAGATAATAAAATTAATTAATTTCTTAAATGAAATATTTGAGAAGAGACATTATATATATATATATATATATTTTTTTTTTAAATAATTCAACACAAATAATAGTAAGTCTTCTCTAATTTTGAATATTTCAAGTTCAATGTACGATAACTGCACAGTAATTCAACTAAATATATTTTCCCATGTTTTTGGTATTGTACCACAAAAAAAACAATAAACTAAAAATTTTAAAAATTAATTGACATTTTCAACTGTTTTTACTGAACTATAAAATCATTAAATTTTAATGTTTTATTTCAAAGCAACATAAATGTGAACTTTCCTAGGATCACAGAATTAAAATAAACTTGAACACTTTATACAAGTCAATTTGATGATCACATAATAATTATTTATCGTACTTACGAAAATATTAGGTCAATTATTAGACAGATTCAAATTTATTGGTTGAAAACTATTTTTGTCAATCTTATTATGATGTGTGAAAGAATATTATTTATAATAAATTTATTAAAAAGAAAGAACACTTTTTATTTATTAATCATTTTTATTTGACTGACCGTAGCGATAACAAAAAAACTATGCTATTGCTGTAGACTTGAGCTGTTTAATATGAAACGCAAATAAAAAAATGTGACTTGTATGAAAATTTTACAAAAGTATAGAAAAACTAATCTGCAGCATTGCCTCAGTCATTTCCTGTTAACTATGACATAAAAACAACACTTATAGTATAACATTGTCCACTATCTGCAGACAAAATAAAGTTTTTACATAATTTTGTTAATTATCATTACAATTTATTTACAATTGCCCTATTTTTCTGTTAATCCAAAATAAAATGGTCTTACAGAAAAAAAATGTTCAATCGAATAAAAATAAAAAAATTATTCATAAGAAAAATCAATAATAAATAGAGTAAGCAAATTGTCAATTGGAAAAAAATATTACATAGTTTAAAAACTACAATTACTTCAAATAAAAGTCATTAAATTTAGTATGATCATTGGGTGGGTAGCACGTGCCCCGTTGTCAACTCTAAATATGCCATTGTACTCGAACAAGCAAATTTAAAGAGAGACCAGTCATAGAGCCATAACAACAACATTTGTTTAAATTAAGATTCGAGTTTTATCTTCATTTTATAATCCAACAATTACGAATGAATAATTTCATTAACCAATATCATTAAATGATTCTAAAATATTTTTGTCTATAATAATGTCCGTGTACCACACAAATGTAAGGAAATATTAATAATAAATACTCGACGCGAATATTAATTTCGTTGTATTATTGATTTTGAAAAACGAAAAAATAGTCCGGGTCAACCCCAAGAAACTCGAAATTATTAAGGCGTCACGAATAAATGTCGAGACACAGATTTATAATGGTAATTTAATTTTCGCACCGTCTAGGGGTTAAAGAATATATAAGACAATTTACCGGCGGCAACAACAAATCGATGACTCGACGACGTTGTTATTGAACGGCGAGTGAAAACCGGAGGGACTCTCTTCGATGATGTTCACACGGAGATCTGATCTCGTGTGCATGTACTTTGCGTGCACCGATCGTACACAGAAGCCGCTCGGGCGTATACATACATAAAAAAAAATGATAACATATTTACTGCGATGGATTGACCGTTACCACTCGGCTCTATAGTTGTGTTTTTAACAGCAAAATGGCGTTACTTCTGGACATTTTCCCTGTAAACCGACAGGCTTATACACCTCAGTTGAACTAAAGTAAATGGATACTCTCCTTACGTACACGTTATAGTGATGTTTTACAATATTAATGAACGTTACACTACACAGTGATAAATTTTAATTTAATTATTTTAAATAAATAAATCATCAGACTGTAGAAGAGATCTGAACGTTTGCCAAAAGACATTGTGTTTTTTTTATCGGCTGACAACGAAATAATGTTTAAGCCACCAATTATTGTCGACGACTTCTGACGATAAACAATATGAGCTCGATCTCATTATCGCCAACACACAACATACAACTATTGTTCAAATAGAAAATAAAACAGAAAAAATATATATAAATGCTTAATGTTGCAAATAACGCAAAAAATAACAAATTTACTTTGAACGCAACAAAAAATACTATACAGTTATAATATCTGTTAGTGATCACTATAATATGCTTGTTTGCATGTTTTTTCGCGAAGATAAAAAAAGAAAAATGATAGTCTACACACTTTTAATTCTTCTTTGCTACAAATACACAATATGATATAATATTACACCACAGTTTGAAACATTTCTCTGCGGACTTTACAAATAAACACAAATTATCATCGTTATGTGCAGCTCGGGTATACCATGAAAAGAAGAGCTTCGCCTGTACCTGGCCGTGAATAGTGAGGTACACTCGAATATAAAAACGACAATTTCTCAAAGAACGTATTTTCTTCTTATATATTTTTTTGTTAGAAACCTTTTGATGAATGGGCTTATACAAAGAGAGTGGTGGTTCCGGTAGTATTGGTAGGTAACCCCTGTACAGTTATCTGCCGTTCCAAAATACTAAGTGTCATCGAGCCCTGCGGTGTGTTAAAAAATAACAGCTTGGTGTAACGAACAGAATAATTATTTCCTCTTTCTTCAGACACTAGAAAACACTATTAAGAATGAATCAAATTCTTTAGTATCGAAGTAAAAATTTAAATAATTAACGGTTTCGTTCAAAAGAAACGGTAATTAAACCTAAATAAATACGAAACATAATTATGCGAAATTGACCTAGAAATATTAGGAGTTGGGGAAAAAAGACAGCCGTAATCTGAGAACAATAGAACGAAGGTTAATTAAACACCAAATGTGAAAAAATTATTTACATTTAAAAAAGAGGCGAGGTGGAAAAATAGATTGCACAGTAGCAGACAAGAGCGATTTGCTAATGCTACATTTTTCAATTATACATAAAAACGTTAAATCAAATATTACCTAATATGTAATTGAACGTATTGAAAAAGTTTTAGGAATATAATATAATATTACTAAATATTTCATCTTACTGGATTTAAAACATATTAAATCCAAAAGCAACTATTGATTTTGTATTTACATTTTAAACACCACATTCAATACAACTTTACTAAATCTACCTCTCTAATCATTTGCCTATTCAAAATAGGCGTTCAAAATAATAATAAATGCAACGAACTTCCGTTTTGAACGCCCTAACTTTAACCATTAATAAATTATTAATAATATTCCAATACTCCAGTTAAAAAGACTAAATTTTAGCTCTTAATACACCCTGCAAGTGATAAATCAGTAAATATTTTTTAAAGTTATTTATAGGAAAAATAAAAAATTCTAAGAAATAAACTAGATTGATTTAATTTTCATCATAATGATTACAACTCTTATGTCAGTATTCTATGTTGCTATTATGTAAATCAAGTTAATTAGGAAAAAAACTCCAAAATAGTTCCAAAAACTTAATAATATAATAAAAATTATACTACTAGACCATCTGCACGTATTTCTTTGAAAAATAGCTCTTAAATTTTAGAATTTAATGCTTATAATTACTCGATAGACGAGGATAATTAAGGTGATTCAAGCAACCAAATTAAAATTTTAACAGAAAAATAGTGTTATTTACATTTTATAAAGTTCAAATAAGTTTAAAACGATCATATTAATAGGTCAATCGACAATTAAATTTATTGTTTTCGCGTATTTTTCAATAAAGTTAATTGGTACACTTTACTATTGTATTGTTCACTTCAAAGTTCTGAGAAATTCGATTTTTAACAGTTACATGTTATCATTTAAATAAATAAATTTCGTATTGATTTTCTACAACTGATATTCTAAGAAACAGGATAACATATAAAGGTTTCAGAAAAATATGTTAATCTAAAAATGCATTCCAACAGAATTATTTACTTTTGCCGGTTGATGATGTAACGGAGATATTAGCGGTCGATTGTACGGCCTGTGTGGACGACATGGACGACGGTGCCGTAGCAGCGGCAGCAATAGCACGAACCAAGGAACAATTGATAGTTGTGGAGACTGACTGCTGCTGCTGTTGTTGTTGTTGTTGCTGTTGATGGTGATGCGCCGGCTGGATGCCGGTAAAGTGCGCTTGCGCCACTACAGACTGATTGCCGCCGCACGAGGGCGCCACTGTGATGGTGCCGATGCCACCCGTACCCGTGCCACCAGTGGCCGTACTTGCGAAGTAAGAGTACATCTCGAAGCCGGCCGTTGACGTACCGACTCTATTAATGGCGGGTGGACAACCGTTGCCAATTCGGTCTGCGAACAAAACATTAAAATAGTTTCAAAATTCAACTATTATGATCATAATAATACATAAAACTCGACAATTAATAGAATAATTAAAAAAAAAAAAATTAAGAATGAAACTAAATCTAATAAGTGAAACAAATTAATAGTTTGAAGAAACATTAAATTTAAAAAATTTGTAAGATAAAAAGAATAATATTTATAATTGTTTACATTTAAGATAAATTTTGCACATAGTTAAATTTAACAGATAATCCAGGAAAATATTAATAGCTCCATTACTGATAACAGTAATGTAAACATGAAATGCCCTCATGGTTTTGCCAATTTGACCTTCTACTAAGCGAACGCGAGTAAACCAGATTATACACAATATAATAGGCATATTAAACAACAATATTCTACAAACCAATTTTAAGGTCAAAATCATTAATCCTTAAAAATATGTGTATAGTAAAACAATACAACGTGGTAATTGTTAACCTAAGTCTTATTAATATAAAAACGATTATTTAAGGAATAATTTCAATTCATACATTTCAAAAATTTTAATTTAATTTAATGTATTCAGAGGTTGCTCTCGAACACATTTCTGTTATAAATTGTACATTCTTAGACATTTAATACACATAAAATATAATTTTAAAAATAGCGTGAATTTTACTAAAATAAAACTTCAACTTGGATTTTATACAAAAAAATTACCTAAAAATAAGGTTGTACAATGCAATATCATATTTTCATTAGAGTGCACGAAAGAAGTGTTCATAGAAAGTTTTTCTATACACATTTATTTTATATATTTTTAATGGGTTTTGTACTGTAAACAACCAGAGCAATGCACGTACTAAGATAACCTTTTGGATATTCCAAGTTTTAACACAGTCCAGCGCTTTAGACGTCATATCTTTTTTTTGTTTATAAACAAATACACATGATGTCGTGACTCTTAACTAGTTTACACACGTTAAAGTGACTGCGAGATCGATCTAGTGGTCATAAAGAAACGGTAAAAATAATAGAACTTATCAATTAGATGCTGGCGCCTCCGAGTTTCGTGACCAAATAAAGAAATGTGTCAAACTCTATGTCGATTACAGAGAGGCGGTAATGAAAGAACCTTGAGCCCTCACCAAAAATATAGAGATGATACTAAGTTAAATATTTACAGATTTTTTAATTTTGTATTCCCTTCCCCCTATCAATTATTCACTAGATTTTAGCTAATAATTGCTCGCTTAAAGAATTTAAAACAAATTTCTGTAGTTTTATTAAACAATTAACCCCCTCGTGTTTTTTTCATCAATTAAAATACAAATTATCTAACCACCATTTTTTTAGTACACACCAATACTACACACTGCGTGACGTGTCATTGACATTGCACAGTTTATTATCAAACTGAAATATCAATTTCACGATTATAATTGACCAAAGCCTATTAAATGTCATATTTTTTCTAATAGAACACAGTTCTAAAATAAATATTACTAATATGATGCCTTCTTTATCCAACAAGGTTACAGTGATTAAAATAACTCGTGATATCCATGTCTTATCTCTTATTGACGAGCCAAAATACTTTGTTTAGTGTTGTATCGATTTCGACATGATCGTCACTGTTGAGAAAATTCTGAATTGAGAATATCTGTATTTAAAAGTTATTCCCTTTCAGATATAACATACATATGTATAACCCCCGACAATTACTGAGAAGTCGGGTTATAATAACAATGGTAACATTAATTTCATTCTAGACACAAAAATATTCCCATTCACAATGTTCATGTATTTTTTTAAGAATACCTGTTATACGCGAAATATACATTAGTGGACATCTCAGTAAACGACCAAACTGAAAATAAATAAATAAGTATATTGAAACAACAGTCGTTTAAGGGCATTTTCAATTAAATCACAGAATATTATTTTTAAAACGCTGTTTTGCATATAATTCTGATTTTTTTAGAAATTACTGGTTGGAAAAAGTGTAATTTGCTTTAACGTATTTAATATATTAAAGACAGAAAAATAAGTTACAACCGCACAGAATTGTAAAAAAGAAGGGTTAAAATTCTTCCTTTTCCTGCGCCTAAAGTGCCGGACGGTAATGACTTGGAAATCCTGCAAAAGTTGACGCGGGTCACGAAATATGGAATTTAATTAAAATAAATTACTTTTCCTTTTTTGAGTAATTTACCAAAAAATAAGCCGTAGATACGATTAAAATTTTGTTTGCATAACACAGTGTTTCGTTCCTTCTTCGGCTATTAAGGTTTTCCGACCGAGCTAATATAATCACTGCAGTCAAAAGTTCAATCGAATACGCCCTCGTTATTAAAAAAAAAAAGTGAACACTCGTAAAATGCTGATTTCTTTTAAAAAAAATTCCAAGTAGAAAAAACTTGCATGGATTGGCGTACAAGAACGTAGTGTTGTACATCAATGCATTAAAACAACAAACAGTTTATTGGTCATTGTGTTAATGAAACCAAGTAGTCTAGCAATTAATACACGAGCAAAAAATACAACGGTTATAAATAATTAAGAGGATACTATAATCACACAGGAAATGACCGGCCATCGGATGATAAAAAACTAATCTAGATACGTTTTAGATGTAATACGAGTTGTCATTTAACCAAACATCTACGTCATTCTACAATTGACATAAAATGTCACTAAGTACGCATACAATACATCTTGCTCAGAATTAATCAATAGAAAATTTGATAGCCGTTGCAACTAGAACTTCCTTAAACATTACAAATTATTAGTCGTCATACAATAATCATATTTGTATTGCTATTCATCTGATACTACTATGTTGATACCTTCAAATACAAATCGACAAGTCTTCAAAAAAGCTAGTAGATTAAATATATCCAGAAAAAATTATTTTAAAGTATTTTTATATAAAGCTTACAATGAGATATTATTGTTTATATTTGATCAAATTTATTTTCTTAACTAAAGAATTAAGTACATTACACATAAAATTCATTACTAATAAATGAATGAATCACACCTATTATTGAATTTTACGACGCTAATAAGTTATAAGGTGAAGTTATAAAGTAAAACTAAAATACAATACAAAGTATGAAATTATTAAAACGTAGAAATTAATAAAAAAAACAATTTGATGGGGGCACACGGAAAAAAAAGGGAGTCAATTTTTTCAAACTTGAGATTTTGGTGACAAAATATTTAATGTCATAATGTACCTTTTAAGTCGACAATTTAGTGGAAAAATTGAATTATTCGAAAGTAATAGCCCTCAAAAATTCTGATGTACTGTAAAAAAACATAACGTTTTAAAATTAAAAATTCCATTTTATTAGTTTACAAATAATTGTCTCACGTTTTTTTTCATTGACCCCTTATTTATTCATTTTATTATAAAAAATGTTTTTTATTTACTTTTTAAATTCAATAAATACTAATTAATATTACAAAATTTTATATTATTTATAAGGGTATGAGTTTTAAAGGCTGAAAAAGAAGTAGAAAATTCAATATTCATGAATAAAAACGGTAACACAGTGTGAACATGGCATAGTTGGGTCAAGTATAATGATATCTGACAGTCATTAAAATCACTATCATAAGAAACGCTTCGATGCAAATCTGTAGATAGTGTTTAATTTTATGAAATTGGTGGATTATTGAAAAGCAAAATTCTAACTCAAAAAGAATTACGGAAAAATTGCAAAAAAATCATTACTACGTAATAAAATCTGAAATCGTAAATTTTAAAAACAAAATTGCTCGTTTTTTGACTACGACAACCATTTTCACGTAGAAGATAAGTTGTCAGGGCAAATTTCTTTTTTTTTGAACTTATAGTACATAACATTAGCTTTATTTTAATATATGTTTGAAGCTCGGAGTGTTTCCGGAACATTTTCAAAATTTAAGTTGAAAAAATTAAATTGTTGTGCAGAACTTACTATTTTGAATCCCCCGTGTGGGCAGGATTGTTTGTAACAATTGTTTGTAACAATGAGAACAATAGAAACCCGTTCCTGACTTACTGAACACCCTGTATAAAAGAATTATTTTAAATTGTTCATTTTTCAAAAAATTATGACAATTTTTAGAAAAATATGTCGAAATTTACCGATTCTAAATATTTGTTGGGGGATTTTCACTATTTACGGGGAACGAGGGAAAAATTTTCAATTTTTGAGAGTAATGTCTTCAATTAGATATGATATGTTATTTTTTGCCGTATCGTTGAGAAAAATCGGTCCAGTGAGAGCTGAGAAAAAGTAGTGACAGACACAAAAAAATATAAATAAAAAAAACACATCATGGTAAAATTAATACCTTCTCAATTTCGCATTGAAGCTAAAAAAAATAGATTGTGTTCCAATTTTAATTTCCATCGATAATAAGTCCCAATTGCGAAGAAACAATTACAAAAATGATATATTATGGAGAGTTAATGAATAATCAAAATAAAAATAAATTATAATATAATAAACATTTTTTATCAATACATATTTAATAAACGTAAGATATTTACTAGAAAAAAATAACATATGATTGGAATTAATGCAATTTCGGTGGTTCATACTCTAAACAATCATAATAAAATATTTATAACATGCACTTATACACCAATAAATTTGACCTTCAAATAAAGAAAACGAATCAAATTGACTAATTAATAATAATTAAATTTATTGTTCTTATATATCTAATTAAAACTTAACCGGAATAATTAATGAAAAATAATTTTCTATTAATAAAATTATATCTTGATAAAGCAATTATAGTAATTATGGAATAAACTTTTTTTTAAATTTAAAATATGTTGCGCTATATGCTTAACATATAAAAGTTAAAAATAATAAATAATAATTTTTTTTATAATGTTCAACTGTATTAACTAAACTCATAATAAATACAATTAATAATCCAAAAAGGATTAAAATATAATTTAACTTCTTCTCATCGGTTAAAGTAAACACAAATTTAGGAAAAAAGTTTTCTGCAGGTAC